TTTAGATCACTCCATTTAAATAATAAAATAAAATTAAAACGTTATTAATCTTATATTTTATTTTTCATACTTTTTTATTTTCAACTAAATCATATCACATATATTCAAATAGTTAAATATATCTAATCCTATTTAAAGTAGGATTACATTTTGCTATTTACCAAATCAAGATATTCTTAAATATTTTGAAATGTGGCTAAATCTAATTAAAACATTATTTTATACTTGTATAAATCTAACCGATTGAATCAAACATGCCTCGATAAGATTAATTACTTTGTATAAAAATCCCAATTTTACTTTTACCATTTAAGTAATTATTAAACATAAACAAAAACCAAAAAAAATTGGAATAAATTACAACACCTCATAGAATGAATCATATTAAGTTCATAAAACTAATATATATTGTCGTATTCTATTTCACATATCGAAAAATATGATAATCTATCTTTTCTAATGAAAAGTCAGAACAAATAAGTTTTATGAAAAATATTATTGAAGTTTTAAATTGTGTAGATAGGAGAGAGCATAAAAATATAATTTGGATATTTAAATTTAAATTTTTTCAAACTAAAAAAATTACATGTATATTATAATATTCCAATAGAAAAAGGTATTTGATTTATTGTTTTATCTATATATATATTTAAAATTAAAATTAATTGATAAATATAAATACATAAATTTTTATTTTAAAAAGCTGTTTGACATGTGGCAAAATCTAATTGAAATTTTTTTTAACATGTGTCAAATTCTAATCGATTAGCTAATATATATTACGATCTTGTTAACTAACACGTTTGACGTATCAAGTTTTATATAATAAGATTATGAAAAAAAAACTTTAAAAAAATTTTATATAAAGAAATGGAGGGAGTATTTTAGTGTGGACCCATCATGCACACAACTTGGCTTTCTCATGTTCGTAAAATCTAAGATGGTAAAGACGACTAAATCGCAGCCGTTTATTTCCCAATAAACGAGCAGGTCTATGAAATGACAATATTGTCTTCCGTCATTAAAGCCCCTTTTCATCGATTCTGCACAAATTCATGCAAAAAGAGAAAAAGTTATACAGTCCCCAAGATTCTGAGTGAGTGGTATTGAACTTTTTCCTCCATTTCGCCATTCTCCTCATACTTAATTTCCCCTTCGGGTCAATCATACAAACTCTTTTTACTCCACTGGCAAGGTGATTGACCACAAAACCAAAGATACAAAACAAGGTGATTGATTGTTTTGTTGTGCTCCGCTTGTCCTTTACATAACATATCATGTGTTTGTGATTTTTTTTAAATCTGAGTTTAGTTTTTTTATTTGTGTTGATCATATTATACGAAAAATGTTTCTCTCTTTTCAACCTTTTGTGGTAATTTACAAGCATTGATGCACAAAAGAAATAATACGATCAAATTCATATGTTCTGTTTCTTTAGACTTTCCAGAAAGTTTTTTGAGCTGTTTTGGTATCTACGAATTATTATAAATTTTGAATTTTTTGTCATGCGTCTTACCTACAACAATGGTTAGGTGAATGAGATCATGTGATTAATCTAACTATAAGTTTTTTCAATATCGATGACTCTATGCTAATCTCCCAAGTCACTTGTCAATTCTAATTCCCTTTTGGATTTAATATGATATTTCAAAGCATATTCATTTTTTGATTTTTCAAAGCTATTGGTCTTGGAAGAGAAAAAAGAGAATCATTATGATATTTGTTTATTTTGGTAAACCCATATAGGGCCGGTTCAATATTAATAAAAAGGATTTTGCCACCTAATAAACATTTATTATTTAGTTTCATCATTTATTTTTGTTTGGATTCTAATTTTTTTTAAGCCAAGATACACATGGTAGTGTATAACAATCACCTAAACTCAAACAAGAGCTTTTATTATTGGATCCGAAGCTCGGCCCAAGCATCCCACCGTTTGCCCTATATACTGACTGACTAGTAGTCAGTCTTTATCAGAGTTGGCTGTGTACTAATTCGGTTGAATTAACGCTATCACAGGAATTGATCCCGAAGGTGAAAAAGATGAAGAGAAAGCATTACTATGAGCTGAACCATCCGTTTGATCCATGTCGTAAGTTGTATTTTCCTGTTTGTACCCAAAAATGCTGTGAGTGATCATATTCATAACATAGCCTGTTGGTTGGTTGGTTTTGTTGTGGCAGCCTTCGAGGTCTTCTGCTCGGGGACATGGAAGGCCGTGGAGTACTTAGAGATCGAGAACGGAATGGTGAGGCTACGTCTTTTGGAAGACGGCCTTGTATTGGATGATATAAAGCCTTTTCAGAGGCTTCGTCTTCGATCAAGAAAGGCCACTCTCATCGACTGTACCTCTTTTCTTAGACCCGGTATCGATGTTTGTGTTCTCTATCAGAGTTTGGATCACGTAGAGCCGGTAATTCTATCTTCAGGAATACCAGCTTCCAAAATCAAGGAATAGCTAGGCCCCATTTTTTTTTTTTTTTTAATCTCCGTGTCTTGTGTAGGTCTGGGTTGATGCAAAGATTGTATCTATAGAGAGGAAGCCCCATCTATCAGATTGCTTGTGTAACTTCTATGTCAGCGTCTATATAGACCAAGGCTGCATCGGTTTGGAGAAGCATAGAATGAACAGAGTTTCGGTACTCTTGGGACTCAACCAAATCTGCATTCTCCAGAAGTTTTCCAAGGAACAAAGCTTGGACCGCTTTTACAGATGGAGATTCTCCCAGGACTCTTCTTCCCTGGTGAAAACAAGGCTAACTCTAGGCAAGTTCTTGCCTGATCTTACATGGCTGCTTGTCACCTCCGTCTTGAAAAGCATTGCGTTTCAGATCAGAGCAATTCAGGAGAAGATGGTTTATCAGATTGTGACGCATGAAGATTGCAAAGGCTCTAGTAGCTCTTTGAATGCAATGAACATCACAGTGGAAGATGGTGTTTTCATATCCAAGGTGGTTTTGTTCAACCCAGCTGAGGATGATACTCATCAAGATACTCATGTAGAGCAGGAAAGTGAAGAGGAGGTAATGGAGCTGCGTCGATCCAAGAGAAGAAACGTGCAGCCTGATAGATTCGCTAACTCTGACAGTCAGCCTGATTCCAAGGACGGATGGGTAAGGATGATGCCATATAGGTGCAGCACATGGACTGCTTTTAGTGATGACGACGAACAAGATACTGACGATGATAGAATTACCGATGATGATTTGTACTTACCGTTATCCCATTTGCTTGG